CGAGATGTTTCCTGCATGTTGAATGGTGGGAAAGAAAGCACAGTGTGAGCCTCCTGCAGTTACAGGGAGATGAATCTTGACTGAAGAGAAAAAAAGGTTGCTAGAAAAAAAATGTTAGTGGTCTTGAATCAGCAGAGCATAGAAAAGATATCAATCATCTACACTAACAAAAGAAACTGAGGCATGATAGGAGGAGGAGGGAATATGCGAGGGCTGGCCTACAGCATTTTGTTTGCCAGTGTCCATTCCTCCAGTATGAGGCATTATAACCCAAAGGTTAAAGACTGCCTGTTGGATGAGATAGAAAAGATGTCCCCATTAATCCTCCCAAGCCCAAATCTAGCAGGTACAGGAGTCCCTTCCATAGACCTGACCATGGTGCTTTCCCGCTTGACATCTCCCAGCAGCGGGCTGAAAGCAAATTCTTATAAATTCCTTCCATAGTAAGAAAATAGTCAAAAACTTTTCTCCTGGTAAACAAGGAGCGCCAAATTCTTTTCTATGGATTCCAAAAACAACATACAAAATCTTTCATCAGAATCTCAGAGAGGCAATGGCTCCACTCAGGACTCCAAAGCTTCCACCCCAAAACTTACTACCCACTGACTACAACACATGATCAGAGCCAAAAGTCCTAAAAACAAATTATAATCATTACTACATACATCAGTTACAGGCGTGTTGGCTATCTTCAGTGCTGTGCATAGATCCATTGGTTTTACCAGGGTGGGGGGCTTGATTTCCAATAAGATGAGTGAAACTCAACACAGCATGGCAGAATCCCACCCAACTCACTAATGTCACTCGTTGCCGGGAGCTGGGCAGGTCGGCCCTGCTCACTTGTATGGTAAATGTGCACTTAGCGAACACTTATTCACCCAGAAGGGGGTCTTGGAGGGTGAGAGGGTAGGGGAACTTGTGTTGTGCACACTAATGGGGGCTGGATCACCTCAGTGCCCAGCTCTGGCCGGTATCCCACCCAGCTCACTGACGTCACTGGTTGCCAGGGGCTGGGTGGGACACTGACCAGAGCGCCCCAGGTTGCTAAGAGCTGGGTGGGGAGATGTGTATGGTCCTTACACATCTCATTGCCTGGCTTTTAGCAACCTGGCGTGCTCCGATTGGAAAGGGGGGTGACAAGACACACTACAAACATTCGCAAGCTGATCAGTGTGTTGTCTCAGTGACAACAATACATTCAATACAGTGCTTGCATGTATTCTGTGGATCTGCTACTAACTTCTGCGGCAGTACTGCTGAACAACTGGTTTCACTGTGAGGCTCTGTATTCACAAGCTATTGTGAGTATGGTTTACCATTACTGATTTTAAACAAATAAATTATACTGCACCAGAGAAGGCACATTTTTGTCTATTGTAGCTTGGTATAGATAGCAGTTGCCCACTGACTGGTGTGATGCTGCCATCTAGTGTACACCAACATTAATGAAGGGAGTTTAGAGCTATCCTTAAGCGCTATGGAAGAAAACTTGTACAATACACACATTGTGCAGCAAAGCAGCCATGCCGCCAACTAATAATCCAAGGAGCCTATATGACTTTCACCACTAGGGCCGCATGCGTATTTTTTACAAAAAAATTATATTGTTGGCTTTATTCTTATTACTTTGTAGTCAGTCTTTGCTACTTATGTGATGATATGATATTGTTATGCCATGCAATTGTATTGTGTAATTGTACTGTTTTATCCTTGGTCGGGTCAAGTTTTTTTGTTTGACCTTAAAGCAGAACTCCAGCAAAAATAAAAAGATGAAAATGAATAACCCATTAAATGATACAACAGTAAAAGCAGCTTTTCCTGCAATATTTATCTTCAATTCAGAGGTTTGCTGCTAGATGCCCTCAGTCTGATGGTCAGCATCATTCAACCCACTTTCTCTGAACCCTGGTTGTCCTGACCCCAGCCTTTGCTCGGACAGATATAGGAAAAGCAGCACAGCGTCACTCCGATTTCTCCTACCAGTATGCTCCTTGTGCTGCTTCTTCCCGCAATTCAGCCCTGCTATACAAGGACGGCAAGGGGGCCAATTACAGGTCAAATTCAGTTACTTCTTTGAGGATTGGCGAGTGTTATTGGATGCCTATAGCTATTTTATTCAGAAGGCAGCTAAAAGAATGGTAACTTCTGAGTAAGCACCTAGCGTGCAGTAATGAATAAAGGCCATTTGATGTCTGCATGAGCAAGCCTATTGCTCGTTTAATAAACCACACCATCATGAAAGCTACCATTATTGACCCATCTACATCACAGGATTGTGTTAACTAAAAAAAAAAAATGCAATAATTTGGTTGCCATCGTTACACCAATGGTCTTTTAAAGTTTAAGGGCATTTAATAAATGAAGCCAATTATGTGTACATAAGCCAACTTTTTGAGGATACAGCTAATGTTCTGACAACAGGCATGATACATACCCATTATGTATCCCTATTTATTCTCAACTTTTCTGCTTAGATCGACTTCACTTGTTAAATATTCTTTTTTTCCACTTTTAGCAAACATTTGCTGTACAGTAGATATTGAATTCCTATATTTGCTTAAAATTGCTCCTGAAAGCAACTACTTCTGCCACCCCTTCATAAACAACAGTAAGACATTCATACTCTGTATAGAACACAGCTGGATTGAAGGATAACTTAACTTCCAGTGGAGTTGTCCATTACAGCTTCCCTTCCTCCTTAGTGAAACGCACATTGTAAAATACATCAATTTGCATGAAAAAAGGCCATAGGTCCCAGAAAATCACTAATGACTCTACTCCTGAAAGAAATCTTCAAAAATAAAAAATTGGCAGCTACTGTTGCTTTTAAACAGTGAGACAGAATATGTGCAGTTTACCACTACAAAGTTGCAAAGTAAGGAAAAAAGTTTTGATGAGTCAGAAGTGAGATAGTCAAGTGATATAATACAAAACTGTTTCATGCTTCTCTTGACAGATGTTCAGGCTACAAGTCCGTTTTTGTGTGACCTAAGGTTACCTCGGTAGGCCCCTTTCACACATGCTGATCAGGAGAGGATCTGTGCACAGATCCTCTCCTGATCACAGCGGTACCGATTGGATGTCACCGATGTGACATCCGTGTCCGTACATTTTTTTCCTCCATCTTGCAATGGAGGAGAAAACTGAAACTGCCGGACTCCATGTGTGTCTGTGGGGAATATGATGTGGGTCAGATTGTGACATGTGTCCATTTTCATCAGATTACCCCCGATCCTGTCCGTCGAAACAGAACACTATTCCGTCTGTGTTGCTGGACCCGGCTGGAGCCAGGGGTAACCGGGTGTTAACAGACGGCTTAGAATTGCATTGGGCATCTGATCAGGTCATTTGCAAAACTGACAGGCAGATCCGATCAGACTGCCTGTGTGAAAGGGGCCTCACATAATGTACAATTAAAACAGGACATAAAAACAATGCCCTAAACAACAACAGACAAAGTTCATCTCCCCCAGTAAAAGACAAAAGTGGTACAAGAATAGAACATTGTTTAATGATCCCCGACTGGTAGCCCTGTGTGCACACATTGCCAGCACACTGCACAGCCAGGCACAGAAAGGGTTAATACTTAAAAAACATTACCCTAACCATAGGGTTTCATAGCACCAATGAAATATCTTAATACCAGCAAACAACCTACTAACCTGTGTGTAACAGCTGTAAGGCACTGTCTTGCAAGCATCACACAATAATACAAAGACATTCTACAAGTCTGACATTTAAAAAAACATAAATAACAATTAAAATGATTGAAACATACATATAGACAGAAGTGGAATTTTGACCCAATACCGGTCTATGGGGCCTACTCTGCTTAATGGTACATTACAGACCAGTCAAAGAAATGTAACAATAAATATTCATAAGTGTTACAAAAAGGAACAGAATAATAACAAAAAGACCAATTGCAAAATTCCTTTGTCAGTCTGTAAAATTCTTACGCAGATGTGGGTGCTGATTAGGCAGATAATCAATGATAACTCAGACTCTCTCAGCAAATACAAAAAAGTCATTTTTTACAAAAAATGTTGGTCATTCTGAAACTGATTGTGCAGTGAAGGCAGTAATATTTACAAGAAAGCTGAGGTAGTAATACTAGTGTTATATACACATAGGACTGAGAGAATGTGCATGATTCACGCTACAGACATGCACAATAGGAGGCAATTTCAGAGTTGAATAAAAGGTGGCAGTTAATGCTGTCACTAAATGATGTGACCAGGATACAGATCACATGTCACTACATAGGGTGATGGAAACGTTTGGTGGAACAGTCTCTTAAAATGTCTCTAGTTACACTACCAGCACTAACAGTCACTACAATTCCAATACAGAGACTGGAGGTAGAGTACAAGGTGACCTTCATCATTGAACTTGGAAGTATAACTTCTTTGTAGCTGATCCCAGAATGGTGATGACATTATTACAGTAAAGGCTTCCAACGACTTGCATATAGTGAGGAATAACCTATATCTTTTCAACCACAGCAACAGTATCCACAGGCCCTAATATCCACCCAGTGTTAGCAGTAGTAGTTGCAGGTTAGGCTCCATCCAGTTTTAACCATCAATGGTCCGTGTACCTCCTGTATCCAAAGCAGTTCCACTATTAGCTACACTTATTTCAGCAATCAATATAGGCAGCTGATTTTTGAGTAGGCTTCTGGCACAAGGATGAAGTATAAAACATGGTCTTTTTCAGTTTTAGGAAGACACTACCTTAGAGAAGACTAGTGGTCTGAAACCAGTGCCATCCTAGTTATACATGTTTTTCACCCAGAACTTTTAACGAGATTGCAACACAATCCAATAGTCTTGCTATCTTGTGAATTACAAGTGTTTTGCTTCATTGTTCAATTCAATAGTTCAGAGCCACCAACAGTTCAGCAGATATGGTTCCAAGCTTCATCTGTTTATGTATAAAATAAGCTACGCCTTCCATATGAAAAGGTGATAGGTAAAAAATAAATATATAACAAAAAAAAATATATATATAAAAGTGTCTAGTGCACATAAAATAATTTACAAGGTCCCATCATGGTCAGTTAGCAGTGACATGAGACTTCAGCCAGTCCAGCCCAGCAGGCAGCCTTTAAAAGGAGAGAAGAAAACGGGATTAAGTATTTTATCTATAGGTAAATAAGAAAAGCAGAACTTGCATCAGTTTTAAGATTTTCCAATAGTCACTATTTACATAAGAAGGTTTTTACCAAGGCCATTTTTAAAATCAACAGCTGTCGTGCTGAGAGGGAATATTTCTCTTCAGTGTCTAGAATGTTGTAAACGTTTTGTAATAAAGGAAAGTTTGGTTGTTTTTTCTGTTTGAAATTCAGGAAGGAGGTTCGAAAGCCTCATTTGCTGCTGGGAACTGACTATAGGTCAAGGTTCCCCTTATCAGAGCCCATCACTGCCAAACTACATCTGAAGAAACAGTGCCAGAAAAGAAACCAACCACTTATAAAAATGCTCTATGGCTGTACTAGGCATGTCAAACAGCAATTAGAACCTTGTGCAGGCTAATATTGTGGATGGAGTAAAGTAGAACACAGCACAGAACTTTTTTTAATTTTGGATAAAGTGGAAAAGGGTTACAACTTCTGGTAAGTATTTGTGTGCCCATTAGAAAGATTTCTTGTTCTGGAGGGTGGTGCCAGCTGGAACAGTGAGGGGAAATGAACACAGACCGTAATAAAAACTTTTTTTTTTTTTTTTACCCAGAGAGAACCCAGACAGGAACTAAAACCTCTACCTCAGCAAATTTTAAGCCTGTGCTTTACAAGTAGCATATTTATCTTTCAGCTTCTTACTTCACATTTACATACTAAGCAAAAAGAAACTGCTCTAAACAGTAATTGTGGTAACAGTGGGGCATTCTATCATTTTCTTAAAGTAGAACTCCAGGCAAAATGTTTATTAACCCTTGCAGGATTAGAAAAACGTAGCCTTTGCCTACCTTACAGGATGCAAGAGTGTTCTTTAAATTACACCAGCACAAGTGTCATTTATTTGAGTATTATACAGTTACATTAAATTGGTGACTTTTTATATTTATCTTGGTCAAGCTTTCCACTTGCTGCTTTAGTTCTGCCTGAGCCTCCATTCTATCAGGAAATACCGCAACTTAATTTTATATCCAATGTAAGCAAAGT